TCGTTTTAACTATCAAAGTTAAAAGCTAGGTAATTCTGACTTACATATACCTAGGTAGTTGCAAAACTATTTTATTTTATGGATGTGCCTTAGTTAGTAGGTATGTGCTTGGGATCTGATAACTGGTAATGAGCAAATACTTAGGGCAAGGGGTACAATAATAGTTTAAGCTCAAGCTCATTTGAACTCAATTTGAAGACTGAGCTTCAGCTCAGTCATGATTCACGTGTACAATTCACRTTCGTAGTGAGTTCAGTTGGGGGCAGGCTGAGCTCAAGGTTTATAGATAATTATCTAGATTTTATATAATATCTAGATAATTATCAGTTGATATTGATATCTTGTTGCGATAACACTATGATAATTGATAACTGGTAGTGGTTGCTGTAATGCTGTCTACTATTTGCTGATTATCGCATCAGTGCATCACGCAATACGCATGGAAAATCGGAAAATGGAAGTAGTTTCATTTTAATTTACAAGAGTAAAGAGTTTGATTTATTATTTGTTCATCAATATTTTATGTGTGGAACTATTTGTATAATTGAATTCATTAGATGGTTCTCTAAAGTAACTAAAATAACTCACTGACTCACTGTATGACTGTATATTTATCTACTTTCAGTTGTCAGCTCCAATCCATTATGTATTCAATAGAATTTATTTTTAGGTGCTCATAAAGTCATAATATGGATTTTCTGAAGATAGTTCTAGTAGTTCAGATGACAAAGATCTATTTGATTTGGCATTAATAATTGCATTCCCACGACGAGCAAAAAATATCAGACCTCGTACAAATCATTTTGAAAAATGGTTAGACCAAGAATTTATCGATCGATTTCGTTTGTCAAAAGCTACTACACTCTTTGTTTTRGACCTGTTTAAAGAAAAAATTTCTCATCGAACCACTAGGTAAATCTAATCTTTTGTATGTGCTTGTTATTTTTATCGAACTTATGACTGGTAGATTATGATGTGTAGCACAAACTAAAAATGTTGAAAAAAATTAATGTTGCTGTAGAATTTATATGATTTTCAATGCTCGTTGTGACACATTTAATTGGCTTTTGAACATGCATGTTGAACGAAAAATTGTTCATATCCTGTTTTTTGTTTGATTGTTGATWGATTGATTKATTTATTTATTTATTAGGTTGACTGACTTACATCTTTCAGTATTTGTTTACCTCTTATCTTAAATTTGATGAAATAGGTAATTAATAATAGGAAAATTAATATAAGATTAATTTGATTAATTTTTTTCAAGTTAAATGATAAAAAATTACCTACTTGAATGTAACATAAATAATAAAATTATTGTTCCTGTGAATTAATTACTTATAAATTATAATAATAGACATAGTTTCTGCATAGTTGTAAATGGTTCTTGACTCAAATGTAATTTTGAATATTTTTTTTTTTTTTTACTATAGAAATCATGCTGTGTCCGCTCAAAATCAGCTATTAATTACATTACGATATTATGCAACTGGATCTTTCTTGAGAGTTTCTGCAGATTTTTCAGGAGTTGAGAGATCTACTTCTGGTAGGATTGTGCGGCGTGTTTCTCAAGCCCTTGCAAGTTTATGTCCACATTTCATCAAATTTCCAAGTACAACAGAGGAAGTGGAAACAGTTTGGCAAGGATTTTATCAAATTGCAAAATTTCCAAGGTGTATAGGTGCTATCGACTGTACACATATCAAAATTCGTTCGCCAGGGGGAAATAATGCAGAGTTATATCGAAATCGTAAACAATTTTTTTCCATAAATGTTCAAACTATTTGTGATTCCAATTTTCAAATCCAAAATATTGTTTGTCATTGGCCCGGTAGTGCCCATGATGCTAATATATTTAAAAATTCTGTGATTAAAAGTAAATTTGAACATGGTTTAATGGGTGAAAATTTGCTTGTAGGGGATAGTGGTTACCCTATTTGTGTAGACTAGTATACTCCTTTTTTTCAAATAATTAATAAAAAAACAATAATTAATTTTTAATATTAGAAGTAAACTATTCACAAGATACAAAATAAAAGTAACCACATTCTTAAATTAATAAGAAGATTTTTTTTTAACATCCTTAAATATCTAAAATGGTATTCCTAATTCTTTTTGGAGTTTCTGTTTTTGTAATTCTAAAATGTCAATTTCTAATGCATGCTTTTGGGCAGAAAAGATCAATTCCTGCTTCAGTTTTTTTTCTTTAAGTTCATAAAGTATTTTTTCGCCATTTGCTTTAACATTTTGTAGTGCCACAGATTCTTCAGCCACATTTGACTTATTATTTATCCATTTATMAATTTTATCTTGTAAATGTTTCCGTTTTCTAGTGAATGGTGATTCAATTTTTAGATACATAATTATGTATTATAGAAAATAAGTTATTTTAATAAATGACTTTATATTGGTAAAATTTAAAATGGTTTGTTTACAAACCTTGTGTATTGGAAATACTTCCATCTACTTGTTTCAAACATTCTGTAATTGGTTGTCTAAGACTTTCAGCACTCATATTTTTCCATTTCGATTGAAAATCTGAAACAGTTAATAATTGGTTAAGTATAATTAATATTTTATATCCATGTATGCAGCCTAAACTTACAAAAATCACAATTACATACCGTCATTATTATTATAGGGATTAATATTTAAATAAGAAATTATAATTAATGGTGTGTTAATTTATTAATCAAGCTATTTTTAATAAACATGAAATTCAATTCAACCAGTCTTGTATAGAAAGTAATTGAGGCGTGTAGTTTCAAAACCAACCAAAAGA